TCCGGGACTACCACCCATTAGTATCATTAAAGTGGCTATTGACGCCGTTAACATGTATTACATATAAAGTTATGAAAGAGATAAGGAGGAGAAAAGGCATGTGGAAGTAAGCAATGAATGTAAAATGTCGAAATCCTCTGTTTAACGCGATATCGGACACAGGAGAACGAGGGGGGAAGTCCCCTACGTCACTACAGCTCACAGAGAGGAGGAGCGAACAGCCAGCAAGCGGGAAAGACGAAGGCTTGTGGTCTCTCTTCTGCACGGCCAGCACCTGGGAGAGGAAGCTGCAGCCTTTCTCTCCTGACTGAACAATATCCTGTTTGTAACATTACCGCGCTTTTTATTAATTAAAGTACCAATTTTTAACCTTCTCAGAGACTCCATTTAGTCTCCTTTTTAAGCTTCTCTCCTGGACGCGAGAAAAACGATCACGGTTTACACCATGCACTACGCATTTCAGTGGTTTTGTGTTAGAAAAGAAAGCAACCAATCAGATCTTGTTCCGGGTCTCTGGGTAGAATATCCTTCAACCAAGGTATTCTACATCTGTTATGGAAATCTAAGACCCAACACACTGGAGAGTACAAGTCAGAGTGATCAAAAACAAATAAATGGTGAATCAGACAGAGTTGTCTTTCTGGTTATTTATTTGAAGCTTCAAATACATAAATACAATAAAATAGACACAGGTTCCACAGAGTATATGATAGTCTGCAGGAGTGTGCGCAGATATAATAGGAAAGCAAAGCTTATATACAGCAAAGGGCGGGAAGCTCAGACTATCTGTCTTCACACGGTCTCATTGTTGTTAGACACCTGTCCTTGAGCTCAGAATAGCTTGGTTTCACTTGACGTCACACCGCTGCGTTCCTTTGGCGCAAAATTCCATTGGAGGTCAGGAAGTAATTTTCTACAGAGGATCTAGCTGCTGTTACCATTGTGAAAATGCCGGTGTGTTGTGTAGTTTACGGTTGTTCCAATCGATCCGGCCGAGAGAAAAACAAGAGGTTTTACCGAGTGCCGAAGGTTGTCGTCCATAAAGCTGAGCAATTTAAGAAGCTAACCGAAGAACGCCGGAAAAAAATGGCTTTCAAACCTACATCTGCGGTCGGGAGGAGCAGAGTCGTCTAATGCACATGTCTGCAGCGACCACCTCATCAGAGGTATTAGCTAACTTGGTTTTTGTGGCTTTGTTTAGGTATTATTGGGTTGTGGTTAAATGCGTATTTACTTAGTAATACTGATCATGTTTAAGTTACCTGTAGTCTAATATGGACTTTGTTGGGACTTTTTAGGGTGCCCTAGCGCTTTGGGTAACGTTGAGTCGGTAGACTGGGCTCCCACTGTTAGCCTCGGTTACCACACAATAAGTAAGCCCAGATCAGAGGCATCTCTTCGACGAGAGCAGAGGATGGAGCTCAAGGAAGACCAACAAAGACAATCAGAATGTGCAGAGGCTTTGTTGGATCTCCTGCAGACAACCGAGAGCCCAGAACCGACGCAGCCCCCGTCTGACAGCCCACAACCAGAGGACACCAGTGGGATATTAAATGACCAACAAGGTAAATTAACCACCAGCATTATTATTAAATATTACAAATGTGATTGTCAAAAAATCAATGCAAACTTTGAATTAGGTTTAGGTTTAGAAAATAGAGTACTAACTTGAGAATCTGCAATTATTGGAACAGAGAACTTGCGTGTCTGTAAAAAGGTTGTCAAAAAGATAACTTCACAAAAATTCACATTCATATTTGACTATTTTAAATAACTAATTATGCTTGCTACTGCTATATTGTATGCAGATGCAAGATGCCAGACTGATTTAACGATGGAGGACATCGAGAGGATGGAGGATGTTCTGAGACAGAACACAACAGAGCTGGGAGATCTTCGGACAAAGGCACTGGACACAAAGTTCAACCAGGAGTCCTTTGAGAACAACAAAGAGAAGACAAAGTTTTACACCGGGCTCCCCAACTTCTTAGTTTTACTTCAGGTTTTTCAACTGTGCGAGCCCTACATCACCTGTGGCCCTATGTCTGTGCTCTCCAAATTTGAACAGTTCATTTTAGTTTTGCTGAGGCTGAGACTAAATCTCTCTCTCCACTGCTTCTAGAATTTGGCATAAGTTAATTGACATACTTCACGAGAGTACAGAATTTATAATTGGGTGGCCAGAGCGACATGTACTTCAAGCTACAATGCCAATGGGATTCAGACAGGCATTTGGATGTAGAGTTGCTGTGATTGTTGACTGTTTTGAAGTTTTATTGAGAGGCCCTCTAATTTACTAGCTAGAGCACAAACATGGTCCAACTACAAGCATCACCATACTGTTACATTTCTGATTGGTGTTGCTCCCCAAGGCTATGTTACCTACATATCTTGTGCCTGGGGAGGAAGAGTTAGTGATAAACAGATCACAATACAGAGTGGGCTCCTAAAAAACCTGTTACCTGGAGATATTGTCCTAGCAGACCCGTGGGTTCGATATTGGCGATTTTACTGTGCTTCACTAAAGATGCCTGCATTCACCAGGGGGAAAAGTCAGCTGTCAGCATACGAGGTGGAAGAGACAAGAAAAATAGCTAATGTGCGTATTCATGTCGAAAGAGTCATAGGATTAGTCAGAAGAAAATATCAGATTTTGCAAAGCAGGGCTGTGCCCATAGAGCCCATGCTAACAAAACCAGGTGAGGCACTAGCATTAATTGACAAGATTGGGGTTATTTGCTGTGCCTTGTCTAATCTGTCAGTGTCTGTCGTCCCATTGGAGTAAAGTCATGGAGCTGTAGTCTTGTAAATAAGAAACCATGTATTATTCAGTATCATTTAATCTTTTCAGTAAACATCTTTTTGTGTTCAAACATCTTGTGTTCAAGTCTTTTCAGTAAACATCTTTTAGTGTGTTGTAAATTGTGTAGCCCTACTCAATATACAACTTTCATCTACATTCAGGCTTAATTCATTCAACAATATTCTAGAGATGACAATTGGTCTGGTGACGTTCCCATGTATGGCCATTGAGGGTTATTGTAAATGTAAATAAGAAACCATGTATTATTCAGTCTTCTTAGTATCATTTAATCTTTTCAATAAACATCTTTTTTACAATAGCAATATATCACACAGCCCTACTTCCTCTAGTGAGTGTGGTCAGTGAATATGAAGGTGCTGTAATGCAGGTTAAAGAGCTGCCACTGTGCAAATAATAATGCAACAAGGAGAGAACCACAACTTCCGGGACCAGGACAGACCACAGGTGCTGGTAATCACGCCTTCTCTCCCTCCTGATCATCTTGCAACTGAAACTGAAAAATGGAACAGCAGACAGGGAGAGGAGGCTTTTAGTCACCTGATAGTTATGCACTAACATGTTCTTGTGGAAAAAAATGAGCACACCAACTCTTTATTACTTTTACCTTTCCCCTTGTAAGTTGCTGTCCCAACACTTCAGGGAGAACACATAGTCTGAAGAAACTCTCAACTCTGGGAATGATGTTGTCCCACAGGTCTACATCACGCACAATTCTCTCTACAAAGAGGTCATTTTTAGTCCAGACAACAAAGTTGTCAACGTCAACGACGTGGAGCTGAGCCTGTACTTGATGGTAGTAGGCATGTCTCCTGTCCAGCTTCACAGTGCCCCCATCGTTGACGAGACAGAAGCCCTGTTCTCCAGCACACAGGCGAAGATTGGCCTCCTCTTGTTTGCTGTGTGGGCACTAAAAGTTAAATGAAAAGAAAAGCAATATATTGTACTGTAAATAAGTGTCTGCAGCTCAAAATGTATTGGGAGAGGATCTCCAGACTCAGGATCACATCACAATCCTATTCTTACCCGCTTTACTGTAGCACAATACTGAACAAATAACTTACCTTTATCTTACAGATACCAGTTCCATGGCAGGTGCACGTGACACCTCCGTCTGGCGACGCTCCCATGTATGGCCATTGAGGGTTCAGCCAAAGCCCGCTGTCTTTACAGCTGAAACCCTGGTGGTGCAGACTTTGTACTCCTTCATACTGCTTTCGGGCAGTTGCCTCGTATTTGCATCCATACCTGTAATGTATACAACAAGGAATAGAAATAGAACATTGTACATTATAAAACGGACAAGTCAAATCAAGCAATCTGATTGGTTCTTAGCCGTGATATAATCAGCGTATACCACGGGTAGAATTGTAAGTTACTTTTCACAACAAGTCGGTATCCCTCCGCGTCTGAGAAAAACTGTATACAGTTGCGTTGAAAAGCAAACTGCCTGCAGTTTGCTTTTCAAACTGGAACAAGGAAGCAGCGGAGAAGTAACGGGGCAGAAACCCTCCTTTTTACGCAGCGGTCCAGACGCTTCGCGTCGGGCCGAACCACGCCCCTTAGCTGTGATATAATGAACAAATACCACAGCCTATCGTGAGCTATTGCTTAATTATACCATGGTCTGGGTGAATACTCCATTCTGATTGGCTCCCTAATCCCTAATAAATACCTTGTTGCAGCTGTAAAGAACTTGTGTGCCTCTGGGTAGCATATGGACTTGATCAAGGACTTTGATGGCTGTGCAAGACTAGTCTGTAGAACCTGCTTCAGTCTTGAGGCTGTGATCCTTCCTGCTCTTTGGCTAAACCATATTGGTGATAAGCTCTGGTTTCTGGTCTCCTCCTCTACTGCCTGGACCTGTGGCTGTGTCAGCTCTTCCTGTCTGAAGTCCTGGCATGCATTCTGAAACTCTGTTGGGGATAGCTGTAGCATCTCTGGTGTCCTATACTGAGGTAGTGGTTTAAGTAGCTTGCTCACAGATTTAGGGACAAATTCTTTGTAATATGGTTCCCTGGACATCAGTGCAGCACTTCTTGGGGAATTTCTGCTCAAAGTCTTGAAAAACTGCATATACCTCTCTGATCCTCGCTCCAATTTTGAACCCTGGAATGTGGGACGCTGAAATGTGTGCTTCTCACCTGTCCTTCCAGCAATGGCATCATCCAGTTTTTTATTTTTGGATTTTGCGGATGAAAAGTCTATCATCGCAACTGGAGCAGCAGGAATCTGCACATGTGAGAGACAGACCAACATGTATGTGAACATACATGTAGGTGCAGTGTAACAATGAGACAGGCAAGGACGGCATGAACAGCTGACTGACCACTGGGGTCTGAATACCTTTTTGACATGTGATGGCATTAGCCACTTGCACTTCTCAGTGGTGCAGGATGCAGTCTCTCTCATCTTCACACCTGCTTCGATTGCAAACAGAACTGCTCCAACATGTGAGCAGGATTCTGACAAACTGTATAGACAGACATACTAGAATAACTAGATTGATCGTAAAAGCTAGTAATGGTATAACATGAATATTATAGCAGGCATTATTTTGTCTGAGCTTAAGTGTTGTGTCAAATATGCTTTGGGTTGGGATATTTATTTTATGACTTACCCAGCCATACAGTTACAGTGTGCTGTAACAACCTCTCCATCTTCTTTAGCTACAATCCACGTTTTTAAAATGGTGTTTCTCCAGACCTCTGGGAATGGTTGACCTACAAAATTGAAGCTCCAGTTAACAACTTGCTAGTTAGTAACATACATTTAACAACATCAAGCCATAGCTAGCTAGTATAGTTATGTTACGTCCCCAGCTCGTTTCGGGGTAAAAGGGAAGCAACACATAACCAGATGGTCTTGGTAAAGAGGTTGTTTTTAATATTAACCTCAACATAGAGTGATATAAACAACGTGCAGGCTGTTCAAAGGCTCTGAGCTGTCTATACACAACAGTACACAAAAACGAAGGCCACAGAATATCACAGTCACGAATCAGGACACTTAAGACAGAACTGGTGAGACGTTTCGCACAAGTACAACGCCGTCACCAAAACACAATATATCCTAAGCTAAACATATACACTCACATCAATATCCTAAGTACACACACACCATAAGCACCCGAGTTAACCTCTGTTAACAATATCGTAAGGAAACACACATCATAAGCACCCGAGTTAACCTCTGTTAACAATATCGTAAGGAAACACACATCATAAGCACCAGAGTTAACCTCTGTTAACAATATCGTAAGGACACACACATAAGCACCAATAACACACAAACATTCTGAGGTATGGTAGCATGGCGTCCTAGCACAGATCCAGCGCCCCGAATGTCAACAACGTCGCAGCTTAAGTAGCGTCATCAAGAGGAACGAAACAACTTCGCCGACGCGGTAACCATAGTACCTACATGTAATCATAACACACATACACATATATATATATATATATATATATATATATATATATATACACACAGAACACTCACAGGCCAGTTAATGCTGAAGGCAAGGCGACAGCCGTAACACTGCCTTACATGAGTCCATGTAGCTAAAGTTAGCTAGCTAGATGTCTCCTAATAATGCTACTTAGAGGTAAGAAGGTATAGGTAGTTAACACTCACCCGGGTAAAAACAAGGCGACATTTGTTTAATGCCTTTTTGGTGCCGAGGTCATTCACCCATCCACACACGAAGTAGTTGAAAGCTTCCAGGCTTTTATACGCTTTCATTTGGCTATCCGTGTAGTAGGAGGTATGAAGGACGAGGTAGCTGGTGATATCCATCGCCTCGACAGCGGGCAAATCTGATAAATCACGAGAAAAGTCGCTCTTTTTCAGCTGATACGGATCGTATCCGATGTGTGCTGTGATTTTTTCACGATATCTGCGGCGTGCAGGTTCATTTAATTGTTTGACATAGTCGGTGTCCTCCATGATTCCTGCGTTGATGAATGATTGCGTTTTCACTTCCTGACCTCCACTTGAATTTCGCGCGTCGTAGAAGTCACGTGACTGAAACCAAGCTATAGGGAAGTTCTTGTGAGACTTTGTGTGGAGAGGAGTAGCCTCAACATAGTCTGCCAAATCAGCTGTGTGGCCTTGAAGCGCTTGGGAATAAACACACAGTAGAGTAAAAGAAGAAAACAGCACATCTCAGAAAATGAGAAACATTTGGTTTAAACATATAAGGATATAATAAAAATGTCCACTACACATCCTTGATAGAATGCCCTGGCCGTTGCACCGAATGAGAGCGTACGTTTGGACTGACAGTTTGATCAACCAATCATATATTGATTTGTAGCCAATGGGCGTATTCTTTCAGAGTTTCCCTCGGTTCCAGGGTACTCTAGAAGGCCCGCTAGCTAACTGGCTCGAGACAGAGGATCTAGATCAGGGGATGGCAACAGGCGGGATCCGGACCCAGACGCCGACCTATACGGACCCGGAGCTATAATCAATACATTAATAAGGGATTTTTCGGCGCCTCCCCGCTTTTTTAACGCTGATTTGGGTGACTTGTGTAATTCGTGGAGAACCGAAGAGTTTTCGTTTTGGGTGTGCGGGGGGGGGGGGGGGGGAGGGGAGTCCGTCTGTCGTTCCGACTGACGGACAACTTCTCACTTCAAAAAAGAAGAAGAAATCTAGACCGCAAAAATAATTAAACAAGCGAGTACCTGTTTTTCCTGGCCAAGGACAGGTTCCTTGAACACAAAACGAGCGTAATGTGTCTTCACGTGGTATATGTCTCGTCTGAAAGGAGTGCTGCTGACAGAGAGCACCGGAACGCCGCTCCAGCTCTTAAAATATTGCAGTAGGCCTACCCAGCGCCATATAGATAGAAGAGTTACGACAACGGAAGTCCAAAAACGGTTATCGTCACGTGGTTCATGTAGATGAGGATCGTTCCCCGGAAGTTCATGGCGGGCAGTGTGAATCCATTGATAACAGGAGATAGAACTACGATTTTTGGTAATTATTAGTGAATAAAGGTTTTGATTTGAAATATTTATACAACAAATCGATATGTGTATGTATTTACATCAATATGTTTTAAAAAATAAAATAGAATTTGCTAATATTAAGTGATAAATTAGGATTAGTGTGAATAAGGAGTTTACATGTTAGGCTAACAGTGCCTTGGTTAAAGAGCCTGTTGCTGTTTATTTATAGCTTTGAATTCTTTAAAACCAATATTATCTTCTTAAACTTGTATGGTAGTCAGGAGCATCACTTTCTAATGTTTATTGATATATTTAGAGGGAGGGGATCTAAAGTAATGCTTTAAAATTCAGATTAGATTAATGTCTACCATTTTCTTAAATTCATGGTAGTTTCAGTAATCCCATGGTAATTGAGGACACAAGTTATCTAAATGACTAATGTCATCTTTATGGCTTTCAGAAAGGACAGGCGACCGATAGGTGACTATCAAAGGACTAGCAGCAGCAGCAGCAGCAGCATGATGATGATGATGATGATGTTAAATGTGTTGTTTTAGGAACATCCATTGCAAATACATGGAATTCAATAAACATTGAATAGCATATCATGCAGTTTGTCTTTGCCTTTTCCTCCGTGTTGTCCTGGTTTGCTGTGCTGCCTCATAGTCGCCACCATGGTTTGCTGTGCTGCCTGGGGATGCTCAAATCGCTCCGAGAAAGGAGTACGAATGTACGGCTTCCCCACTGACACGGAGTGGAGGAAAAAATGTCTGGCTCAAGTCAGCAGGAGCAATTTCACAACCAACAGCAAAAACATATGTGATGTAATTATATACAAACACTGCATTTGCACTTTTTCACAAAACGAAAACCACACCATTGGGAAAGCTTAATGTTTTGTTTAATACAAAAAACAGGGAAAGGCTTGAAAATTACAGAGTTGAGACTCAGGGTGCAGGGTGAGGGTCTCAGTGCAGGTATTCAGGCTCCATTGAATCCCCCTCTGGTTCTTGTGCTGAAAGAGGGAGTAACAGACAGGAGAAAGGGTTATACACACCTATATAGCACACCTATTGGATGGGAAATTGCCTTGGGGAGATAAGGTGTTTACTTATATAAAACAGTAGTATTAAACTTACCTTGTGTTTTCACTCTCACTTAAGTCCCTCTCCCTTTGCCATCAATCCAAAATCAGCTGAGCTGCAACATTATACAGACAGGTAATAATCAATATAATCACAAGGACACAATATGGCTCTGCTAAAAACACTCACTCTTACACGCACCAAAGTTATATTTATCTAATATTTAACTCCCTCCACCCCTGCATACAATCCCGTTTAGAAGCCCCTCTTCTCTAATTCAACAACGTTGGACCAAATAGACATTAAGAGAACGGAATTTACAATTAAAAGGCTGTTCAACGTGTGTTGCTAACTTGCTTCGGTATCCTAGCTTAATCTGTTATCTGTAAACGTTCCCTAAATCTACTAATTTAGGGATAATCCACTGACATCCTTTAATACACATGTTAATTTGAATCAGATGTACTGATAATATCCGCAATATACATCTTTAAACTTCTTCTTACCTTTAAAAGTCCGTCACGAACGGTCTATTATGCTGCAACTCTATAGCTCTGCTAGCCTTGGCGCTAACTTCCGGGGAACGATTGAGAGGCTCCACGATCCGCCATTGCTGTAAAAAAGTGGTCCATTGGAGTGAACGGAGATGACATAACTCTCAGTCTATATGGCGCTGGGCCTACCCATAAGGAGCCGTACACAATGTGCAGTGTTTGCGTGGCTGTGTCTTTAGTTGTAAGCACAGTGGCGATCTGTTGTTGTTAGCATCTGGTTAGCTAGCTATGCTAACAAATTTAAAGAGCTTTTCTACAACCAGGTGGAAGCAGCGGCGCCGGATTCATTTCAGAAGTGGGGGGGGGCCAAAAAGTGCGTGTGTATGTGACATAGCCTACTTGCCAACCCTCCCGATTTTCGCGGGAGACTCCCGTTTTCCTCCCGGGGTCATATTTATCCCGCATTCTCCCGATTTCTGACTAAATCTGATTTGTTTCATTCTAACATAACGCACCAAATGTTACTGTTTCCACTCGGACTTCAATACAGCTACACCATTGTTTGGTTTCCATGGTAACGTGTCATTTTAGTAGCGCGAGCAAATGAAAGTCTGAGAGGGTCTTCAGGAGGAAGATAGTCAGAGAAAACAGAACAAGAATGGACAACTCAACCCTCTGCTCACTCCTTTCCTGTAAATTAAACTATACAGACCAGCCCACACATATGACAGCGCAGTTGCTCATTCCATCTCTTCTTTTTTTCCTGCTACGCTCTTGTTTGACAAGCTGAATGTTGACTGGTGTTTGACTGAAGTAAGCTCTGTGAAAAGTTCCAGTTATTAACTCGGTATTTACAAAGCTGTCATCTCCACATTTGGAGAAAGTTACAAGCCGTTTGACAGCAGCACATCTGCATATTTCACAGAAGGCTCGTTTAGTGGTTTTGCAAATAATTAACCACTCTCTGTTTTTGTACCATTCTGCATTGAAGTACCTTCTCTTTGCCCAAATACGCTTTTATTGGCCCGTCACAATGTCCCGACAACAAACCTCCTCGTATTTTACCTAATGCAAAGTGACCTGCTCCATCGAAATCAGTCGCATTGATCCGAAGACACATTTTGAGTTGTATACACTGTTGGAAAGAGGAGATTCCTAGCTTTCTAATGATATCAGGATTGTTGTTGTACTCCAAATATTAAGCGAAATATGTCACATTATATAATGACTGTCACCGAGTCATCATTTTGAGAAAAAGGCCTCTAAAGTTTCCTCTTCTCTGGAATCCAACGATCTGATTGATTATTAGCGGAGCAAATGATCAAAGTAGTACGGAGGGAAGATATTTTCGTTTGGATTACTGGTCTGGGGGAAGCTCGCGAGTGTGTGTGTGTGTGTATACGTGTGTGTGTTTGTGTATTTTTGCATTTGTTTCCCGGGGAAAACTCTCAGGAGAAACACCGGCTGTTGTTATGCTTGCTGTGACGTCAAGTTACTCCGTTCTCCGCTTGTAATTATGCCGTTAAAAGCTTCAAAGCTGTATTTATCATC